CTCTTCTGTGAACGGCTGTGATATTTAATGAATTTTGATTTTGCTAATGTTGACTTTCTGTATACAATTTTGTATTTAAAGTAAAATGACTTTCATACTTACAAAAAAAGTGTTTCTACAACTTGAACGCACCTCCGGGTGGTGACTTGAATCCTTGGTCCATTGCTCCTCTGCTTGTACCTTTTTGCTCAAGTTTCTGAATTTCCTTATCTAGATTCAAGATGGTTTACTATTGAAACAGCTGCTTCCTGAGTTTTACATTGCTTGCTGTTCCCTGTTGTCCTTAGCTGTGAGTCTGATCAGGGTGCAGTCGTGCAGTCTAGGATTTGAGGGTACAGGAAGGGTAGACATTCATGACGTGAGGAGAGGATAGATTATGAGGATCATCCAGGACTGGGCAGTCCTTCATTCTCTTGGACCCCAGGGTGCATGCAGTGTGTCGTAACCAACTCGATGGCACCTAACAGCAACAACAGTGGAAAGGAGGAGCTCTGTTGGCACCTTGATTAAGTGCTCACCTGCAAATCAAAAGGTCTGTGGTTCGAACCCATCAGCTGCTCTGGCAGTCGGCTTCTGTAAAGTTGACAGCTTTGGAAACCCTGTGTGGCAGTTCTACTCTGTCCTATTGGGTCGCTATGAATCAGTAGAAACGGATTTGACTTTGGGTTTTATAGTGGAAAGATTGTTTGATTTGCAACCCCAGCTGTTCATAGGGACGGTGCAGGGCTGGTGTGCATGAAGGCTCTGTGAGTTGGGGTGATTCAGTGACAGCCATCAGCAGCGCAGTGGGAAGAGCTTTGGAATCCAGCTGCCTTGGTTTTCTTTCCAGTTCTGAAACTTGTTAGCTGTGTGCAGGTAGGTGAGTTACCTTGCCTCTCTGAGCCCCTGAGGAAAGAGTGTTGATATCATTACTCTCACAAGCCTCTGGTGAGGACTGTCTTAGGTTATGTCTGTACAATAAGCACTGCATTGCCTGCCAGATTAGAAGCTCTCAATAATTTATATTCAGTGATTTGTTTCCATGTCTCCTGCCCAAAATGTAGGACAGAAGGTACGTGTGGATCTCTCTATGTGTGTAGCCTTCAATTTCTCCAGCTGAGAGCTGGCTTGTCAGCCTTCCTGTCAGAAGGATGGGATCTTGGCTCAGTTTTGGACTTGATATTTGGTAAAAATCCAGCATGGTGTTAGCCTAGATTCTTAGAAACGGAGTCCCCAAATTATGGACTATAACAGCACACCTTTTTTGGACTCGAAAGAAAAATCCCTCATTTGATTGTCTGAGACTCTCCATGCTCTGTTCTCAAAGCCAGTTGCCATGGAGACGCCTCTGCCTTATGGCGACCCCATGGGGGTCTGAGGAGAACTGTGCTCCATCCTCAGGACTTTTCTTCCTAGGCACTTGTGGATGGACTCCACCTGACACCCATTCAGTGAGCAGTGGAGAGCTTCATCACTCACCCAGTCTCTTCTGCAGCACAACTTCAGAGTAGCCACCTAAACCTCAGAACTGGGGTAAAAGCACAGCATGACTCCACATGGGATCCCAAAGCCCAAAGTCTCTTCTTGAGTCCTGTCAGAAGCCGCTCTCATGTGGGACTTGCTCATTCCTGACAACAAGCCTAGGAGTCTGTGCCCCATTAGCCCTGTGCAGACAGAGACGGCAGTGAGTTGTCCTTCAAGGCATGTAGCTTTGAAGTAGTGGAGCCGGGCCTGAAACCCATGTTGTCTGGCTCCAGAGTCAGTTTCTTAGCCGCTTGGTTGGCTGGTCTGCCTCTCAAGTCATGGTGATCCCGATGGAACACAGTGTGAGCAGTCCCAGATAAACCAAACCCACTGCATCGAGTTGATTCCAAGTCCTAGTGACCCCCCCAGGACAGAATAGCACCGTTCCTCAGAGGTTCTGAGACTAAGTCTTCATAGTAGACAGCCTCATCTTTCTCCTGTGGAGTGGCTGCTGGCCTCAAACCACTAACCTTGTGGTTATCAATCCAGTGCTTAGCGTACAGCACCATGAGGGCCCCTAAGGCCTCCATAGACATAGTTGTTGTTGTTAATGCTGTCGAGTTGGTTCTGAATCATACACACCCTGTATACAGTGTTTCCAAGGTACAGCTGGTGGGTTTGAACCACCAACTTTGTGGTTAGCAGTTCAGTGTTTATCCTACAGTGCCACAGCAGGGCTCCTTCTGTAAATACTGGTGGCTCTTATCATCATCATTGAGCCTGGTAGTATAGTGGGTTACATGTTGGGCTTCTAACTACAAGGCCAGCAGTTCAAATCCACCAACTGCTCTGTGGGAAAAAGAATAGACTTTGTGTGCCCAGAAAGATTTACAGCCTTGGAAACTGTATACAGGATTGCTGTGAATCAGCACACATCATTGTCATCATCATCTGCAAGATCCTGATGGAGCACTGTAGGATAAGCACTGGACTGCTAACCAAAAGGTCAGTGTTTAAACCTACCAGCCACCCCTCAGAAACCCATACACAGTAACTGTGAGTCAGAACTGACTTGATAGCACTTGAACAACATTTTCAACTGAAGACAGGATGTTATTTAGTTCACTTGCTATCAGGCAGATGACTTTCAGATGTGGGACAAACATAAAATTTCAATATACAAATATTTTTTCAAAAAATGGAAGTCTAAGCTGTTGAAGCCACTGTAGGTCCAGTTGACCTCCATGCCGGTCAGTCCTTCTGAAAGTTCCTGTTACTGGGCCGTCGTGTGACAGCTGATACAGGCAGGGGGCGGGGGTGGGGGTGGGGAGTGGGGCTTCTCTGTGGGCCAATACTTGCCTGCGTGGTAATCCCACCAGTCCATAGAAACAAGGTGAAGTGTTTGGCTTCTTTCCACGAATGGTGGCAAAGAAAGCACTCGAAGCATGTAAATATGACACCCATATCCAGCATAGCGCTGAGAACACTGGGATTGTCTGCTGTTCCAAAGGGCAACAATGGCGTGAAGTACCCCAGGACTGTTCCATTTGGGACACTTGATAAATTGGAGGCTTTCCATGATTTTCCTCTACTTTACAGTAATAGCCCAGAAGGTTTCAGATTGAAAGAGCAAAGCTATGTATCATGGAAACCATAGGTTGATATTAGAAGCTATTCTGTGTCCAAATGTTGCGAGTCATCTTGCTAACTATCTCTGAAGCTAAACTCTCCCGAAGTTCTCCATTCTGACTTAACTTCTGTAGTGGTCCAGTATTTGTGTAGGGTCCTCTGTCTGAAAGCAGATGATTTTGGAGGTATTCTCACTTAGGATCACCAGGTTACAGATGAAGAAACAGAACCTGGCACAGTAAAGACCTCAATTCAGTTCCTGTAGCTCCCAGTCTGTGGATTTCCTGGCATACCAATTTGCCCTCTTGGCCTTTTTTCTTGACTGTATTCCTTCCTCTTCCGTCTGCATCCCACCAAAGGTTTCACTGTTGTTAGGAGCTGCTTTGCAACATTTGAAACATTCTGTCTGGAAGTTAGAATGCCATCAAAGACTGGCCCACTGCATTTCCTTAGTTCTAAATTGAAGAAGTTTGCCGTATCATGTGGAGCTACAATGAAGATCTTAGCTCTAAATGACAGTTTGGAACCTAGCTTGGTACTGTTCTTTTCTTGCATGTATCTGGATGTGGCTGTGTGATTGATTTGCTGACAGCCCACCTCTGAAAGCATTTCTAATGATGAACTTGTAATTGATTGCATCCGTCATCTAGAGCCTAAAATACCCCCCTCCCTAAGTTAAAAAAGATAAATGAAATGAACCAGAATGTGTAAGCTGACAAATCAGAGGGAATTTAATGAAACTCTAAATTCCCGCAGCCAGCAGATAAGGAAAAAAGGTGGCTTTGTTGATGATTATAACACTAAATTAAAAAGGAAAAAAAAAAGATCCAGGAACGATCATAGCGGAAACAAAGATCCGTGGCTCACGTTTCCAACTAAGTTATTGCAAGATTTTTAATAAGCATCTGTCTCACTCCCTGGTTATTGTTGATTCATATCATTATTGTTAGCCTTGTTGGGAGAATAGTAGATGCAGGCAGGGACTGGCTGCCTTGGTTTGTAGCTGAGATGACTGCCGTTGTAACGCATTCTAGAATGAATATGACCTTTTTTCCAGGCCACTGGGGGCCTTGTACCAAATCCAGGTCATTCTAGTGTGCTGTTGGGAAAGTAGTTCCTCAGTGTCTGACTTCTTTTATCAGTTAGTACGTGTCCATGACCTGCTGAAAGGAGCTTCACCTGCAGCTGTTCATCATCTCTCCTAACGAGAAGACCCGAGGTGTGCCGCTGCTGGGCTGGCAGCTTCGGTGGCATGGTAACATGAAGCCAGAGTGTACCATCTCTCCCGGCATCCCCTTCCATGGCTGAACAGTAATGGATGTGTTTGGCCATCTCAGTTTTGTATCACAGTACTGAGCATTGGGAACAAGGCCCTGTGTTCTCTTATCAGGAGTCCTGGTGGCACAGTGGTTAAGTGCTCAACTGCTAACTGAAAGGTTAGTGGTTCGAAACCACCAGCTGCTCTGTGGGGAAAAGGTGGCCCTGAGGTGCAGTGGACGCATTGGCAGTGGGGTTATGAGTCAGATTGAGTCAGGACAATGGGTTTTGCTTTTGGTTCTGTTTCTACTCTTCTTGAAAAAACCCTGGTCGTAGAAGTTCTTCAGGCCTCATTGACTAGACGTGGCAGGTCACTAGTAAAAGAATGGATTGACTTTGCTGGGATTCATGTAGCCAAATCAAGACTGCCTGCCCTCTGATGAAAGCCATTCTAGTGACAAGGGGTAAAGTGAGGTGCAGGGCTCCTTGGGTAGGTCCCTCAGGTGGGCTGTTGGGATTCTCGGAGAAGGTGGGTGCGTATCTCCTACTGTTGACCCTTTTCACTTCTAGCGTGGCAGGATGAACATGCTATCGTGTGGCCTCACTCATCTTTCTCTTGCTTTTTTTCTCTTCAGTTTCACTCATTTTGAGATGTTCTCTGTTTTTACCAGAACTCTGTCCACCAGCGATGATGTGGAGGACAGAGAAAACGAGAAGGGCCGCCTTGAAGAAGCCTATGAGAAATGTGACCGTGACTTGGACGAGCTGATTGTGCAACACTACACGGAGCTGACCACGGCCATCCGCACCTACCAGAGCATCACGGAGCGCATCAGCAACTCCCGGAATAAGATCAAGCAGGTGAGCATCCTTCCTCCCGGGTGGCCCTGTGGCCCCTTTCTTTTGTGCAGGGCTGGTTTGGAGTTGTGGCTAATGGTCTTTCGGGAGCCCTTTGTAACTACTCTTTTCAGGGAATGTCTAGCTGAAGAGGCTCGCAGTGGCGGTCTGAGGTGGCTTCTTCCTGCCTCTGGCTCCTGCTAGGGGAGATGAGGTGGCAAAGATGGCCGCAACTGGAGGAAGAACCCAAAGAGAAGCGGGAGGAACTGGGAGGAACCCAAGCCAACAGAGGAGGCTTCCATCACCTGGTGTTAACAATATGTGTTGTACACATATGTAAAAATCTGTGGCACCAACCATTTCTCTCAGAGCCTTCTCTTCTCCTCAGTTGGGGTCAGTGATCCACTGTAATGTCCACACAGAACTTGGAGATAGTACTTACTGGGTTTCTTAGGGAAATTAACAGGTTACAATACAGAGTCAGAAATGCTCAGGGCCCAGCTGTCCCAGTCAGCTGCTAATAAATGTGCACGGGACACACGGCTCCACCGTAAGTCTCAGCCTGAAGGCACTCAGCTCTAGCTCAGGATCAGCGGGCTAGCTCCCTCACTTAAGTGTCTGGAGGCCCCCACTCTGCAAGCAAGCCTGCTGCCGGAAGTCACTCAGTTTGACTTGCTCTTTGTCTTGCGCTCTGGGTCTTGGTTCTACTGCTGCTATTCCTCTGCCGCTCCTGCCCTTGTCACAACTTTCTGTTCCCAGTTTGACATGATTCATTGTGCAGGGATCTTGGGATCCGTAGTAGGATGTGTTACACTCCCAGCTTTTCTACTTTGATGATAGTGAGGTTCCCCCCTCCTGTCTGAGATGGCTCATTTTATGCCCATGCTAGAGGTTCAAGTTTTTATAGTGACAGTGAGCTCTGCTGACATCCACAGCTGAATCTTGTCATCCTGTCAGCGTCTTCTCCCACCGTCTCTTACCCAGACCCAGCAGGGCAGAGACGTTGTTTGGTGGGCATCATAGACTTTGACTAGAGGAAACATTAGACTTTGCTACAGCACAACAATCACACATTTTATTTGTGTCTCTAGGGAAGGACATCACGCGTTTTAAAGTAGAGGGTAAGTGAAAAACAGGAAGACCCCAATGAGAAGGCTTGACACAGTAGCAGAAACTGTGGGCTTAAACATAACAGCAGTAGTGGGGATGGCACAGGACTGGGGCGTGTTTCGTTCTCTTGTACATAAGGTTGCTAGGACGTGGTTTTGTTTATGTGTATGTAGTACTTATTGTTCTTTGTTTAGTGTTGTTGAGTCGGTTCTGACTCATAGAGACCCTGTATAGGGTTTCTGAGAAGTGGCTGGTGAGCTTGAACCATCAACCTTGCAGTTCAAACCGACCTTGCAGTCCAGTGCATTAGCCCACAGCACCATAGCAGGACTCATGTGTGTGTGTGTATATATATATATATACTCACACACACATACGTACATAAACATGTTGTTGTTGTTGTTAAGTGCCATCGAGTCGGGTCCGACCCATAGCGACCCTGTACAGGGTTTCCGAGGGT